CTTCCATACTCTATGATAGATTCGGATTTAATATTGAATATTACTCATGGGACAATAGAATTTCCACCGAAACACGCACATAAATAAACTGCATCTTTTAACTCTTTTGTTTCTCTTCTGGATTAAATTAGGGATTTTAAACAATCATATTTGAAAATGATTCCCATCATATTTTGTTAGACTAAAAGTGATAGTGTGACCGAATAAACTATCTACTAATCTATACCATTCGTGCAGGATGTTTTTTATATGTGTATATATACGTGGATCTGTTTGAAATTCCATTGATCCATATGTTGAATGTTGTAGGATTTTGTTAGTTTCCTTACAAATGTGGTGCCACTTCTCTGATCCTACTTATTCATAAGTATTAAATTCACATTTCGGCTTTTTCTCTCATTACACTGTTAACAGATTTTTATTTCTCACTGTTTCTATGACATGGTTAGTGTTTTTAGTAACTGGTTTACTTTGATTTATCTAACATATCTTTTCAAGTGAGTTTCCCATAGTGGATTATTGCTTATTGGACTTCTGTTGGGTAAATTCAGTATTATATGGTAGACCTTTCTAGATCAATACAAGCAATGATTACTATTTATTATCTTTTAGTAAATTGCATGACTAAAAAAAATCCAACGTTGCGAAAATTAATGAAATTTATGGAATTCTAGAATTAACACTTAGTGTTTTTTTTTTAAATTTTAAAGACAATCAATATCAGGCAACTCAAATACATTTTGGGATTATGTAAATCTCTCAATTGATTGTAAAACCATCAAAATACAATCGGCTGACGTTATATTTTCTAATTCTATCATCTCAATGTTGTTTTCAAAATTTACTTTTGACAATTAAATTCTGTAACTTAAATGTATGTCAGCATTTTTATGGCTATCATGATCACACATAAATTATGAATTCAGAGAACAAATCCATTTGTTACAAAATTAATAATAATATGATTCCGAATTTTTCAGGAAACTCCTTCATTCCATACTAATTTCAAATTCAATCAAGCATTCTTTCATTTACTACGGTACATCCTATAAACTAGGCTTCATTTTATTAAACATTCATCACAACACTGAATCAATAGATTTTCATTTGAAACCGCTGATTCAGTTTTTATGTGTAAAGTGAATGGTCAATGTTTCCATTCTATTGAACTGGTTTATTATGAAAGGCGATTTCTATCAGTACTAGAACATGGTTATCAAACATGTAAAGTTTAAGATACATTTGAAGACTACTTATAAGTAGCACAAATTTATTTAATAAAAATGTTGTGACATGAAGATTTATTCATGTTCGACAAAATCATAATGAATAATTTCTTATCAGATATTGAGCAATTGATGCTAATCTCGTTAGATTCAATAAAGCAATAAGAAATGGAAAAAAACCTTTGAACAGCATCATTCAATGTTGGTTTTATTTTTTTATAATCTGTTTTCATTCATCCAGCTTTTTGGTCGTTTCAGAGATGTTTTTTTTTTTATCAATCGATCGATTAGTATTTCTTACTATTTCATATTTAAACAATTTCGTAGTATTATTAGTCACAGTAAGGTTAGAAATAATTAAACTAATTGCAACAATCAATCTGATTAGGCAAACATCTGGTTATACTTTTGTCTATTGAAATTATCAAAGCTTCAACACGAATAAATCATACAAATCAAAGGGTATAAAATCTAAACAGCCATTCTTTTCAACTAAAAATGTCATTGATCCCTCTCCTTTTATCTCCAAATGAAATATTTTAGCCATTAGGCAAAGCACAAATCATATTCATCAGATAGGGTTGATGAATGCTAAATTTATCCATAATTTGTTATCACTGTTAGTAAATATTCTTTGCATCTTATTTGACTTTATTGAAAATTAAATCAAAACGATACTTAGAAACTTTAGAATACAAATATAATGAACTAATATTTATTCCATATAAGTTAAACAACGAAAATAAACAACAAACAATAATTTCTTTGTGATTACAACAATCGCTACATTCTGAATATACATGACAATGAATAAGTTACACATTTTTGAAACCATTAATCGATCAATGTTAGACCACCATTAGAAACCTGGAAGCACTGGACGACCATTTCGTCCTGGTATGGGACTCCTCAAACATTAACACCGTTAGTTACCGGCTCAGTGGTCCGATGGTTAGGCGTTCGCCTACAATACCAAAGGTCCCGGGTTCGAATCCTGCGGGCTGCAGGAGTCGTGGATGCGCACTGCTGAGGAGTCCTATACCAGGACGAGACGGCCGTCCAGTGCTTCCAGGTTTCTAACGGTGGTCTAACATTGATTGATTCATGGTTTCAAAAATGTGTAACTTAACAATCTTCACAACCCCGTAATCCAAATGAATAAGTTGACAATAGGTGAACAAAGGAAATTCACTTGTCATAGTTAATACATTAATTAATTCTGTGTGATCAGTTAAAATACACATTAAAACAATGAACTAAGTGATTATAATCATTATCAACTTGGTTTTTTTCCCCTTGAAAAAGTAAAATTCTAATTGGAATCACTGAAATGAAAAAATACTTTATCAAATCAATATTTGGATTATTATTTTTGATTAGATTAAATGTTAATTTAATTAGATTAATTTGAAGAAATTCGAATTGTTTTTGTTATTGAACAATAAAAGAAAATATAATATTTCCAAGGTATAAATTTACATTCAATTAAAAATACATGAATGTTTATTCTTGTTTATAAAATAATATAATAAATAATAGTGATAAACTGATTACATGAAGCATTTTATTAGGAATTCAAACGACTCACTTTGATCATAATTAAATAGTTTTTGTGAAATTGAATTAATAATATTGAACAAATGAATAATTTATTGTTTATTGAACAGTTAACAATTACAACAGTTACATTTAACTAATCTCTTATTGATGACTAAAGTATAACGATCAAATAGCAGTGTAGGATCTAGTTCAAGTGACTGAATATTTTATTCAGTAAATTGACGTAGGTGAAGACAGTTCAGAGTAAACTTGGTATTGACCTCGGTTTTGTGTTAGTTGTCAGTTGTCAGCAAGATGTACTTGGAATTTTAGATAAGTGGTCATATCGCAACTTGATTTATAGAAGTCTGTTAGTATGAAAGCCTAAGTAAACATAATATTAATCACTTCTTGACGATCAGTTAATTGTGAATGTCTCATTTCTGTAAGCAGTCAGTTAGTTGCAGAGCGAAAAACTCAGCTTGTAAAGCTAGGCGACAAAATTCGAATTGCATGTTATGTCTGAGTGCCCTCAAAAATACAGGCACAACGTACTCCAGACGAGTCTCGAGTTGCACGAGCCCTAGGTCGAGCTGGGTTTCCTTGTGACTACCTCCAGCTAAATATTATAAAGGAAACTTTTCACCAAATAATAGGACTATTTGGTGCTTTATATCAGATCAATCTTTACAGTACGTGGTAAATCGATATCAATTACAGTAAGTTTGTGTCAGATTTCAAAATACCGGTCAATCAGATAGAAGAGAGTTTAAGTAAGCCTACTGTCAAAGGCAGGATAGATGATTTCTATTTAAAGTAATATGTTCTGAAATTATGCACAAGCCTTGATATTCAAAAAAAGTGAAAATTATAATAGTGCAACTCTGCATAGATAGCAAATAAGATGACCAGAATAACTTATAAGATGATAGCCAAGGTGAATACACAGAAGCAAATAAGCAAGTGAAGAGGAGCATCAGAACCGACATAGGTAAATATGTGGAAGACCTCGTAATGACGGCGGAAAAGGCTGCAAGAGAAGAAAACATGAAACGATTGCACGATACGACAAAGAGATCGCTGGAAACTATCATAAACCAGAACGACCAGTGAAAAGCAAGGAAGGCAAAGTAATCAGCAATGAAGACGTCAGCATCTGGAGGGAAGCACGGTATTCAGTGGACAGCTAGGACGTAGCTAGACGATCTGGACTTCGCAGATGACCTGGCTCTTCTATCGCACACGCATCAACAAATGCAAGAGAAGAAAACTAGTGCAGCAGAAGCCTCAGCAGAAGGAGGTCTCAACATACATAAAGGGAGAAGTAAGATTCTACGATACAACAGTACATGCACCAACCAAATCAGTCTTGATGGAAATGCCTTGCAGGACGTAAAATCCTTTACTTATCTGGGCGGGATCATTGACGAGCAAGGTGGGTCCGATGCAGATGTAAAGGCACGGAAGACAGTTATACTGTATGGAGTGGAAACTTGGAAAACTACGAAAGCCATCATCCAGAAGATAAAAGTATTTATGAACATCTGTCTTCGCAAAATACTTCGTATCCGTTGGTCAGACACCATCAGCAACAGCCTACTGTGTGAGAGAACAAACCAGATTCCAGTGGAAATCAGCATGAAGCGATGGAAGTGGATAGGACACACTGTGGAAAGCACCCAACTGCGGCACGAGACAATCCCCCACTTGGAACCCTCAGAGTCAAAGTAAAAGAGGAAGGCAAAGAAACAAATCACGTCGTGAAATGGAGACTGGCATGAGAAGAATGAACAAAAATGGGAAAAAACTGGAAAGGGAAGCCCAGGACAGAGTTGGTTGGAGAACACTGGTGGGCGGCCCATGTTCCGTTGGGAGTAACAGACGTAACTAAGTAGGTAAGTATATAATGGATGAAAGTCAAGTTGATCGATTGTTCTGAGGTAAAAAGCTTATAAAAATTTTATATGCTGTGTATCAACCTATATACAGTAATTGCGCATTCATTAAGTGACCTTAAAACCATAGTGCAAAAAATGAGTTAATATGAACAATAATCGGTTGAAAAAAAAGTCAAATAAACAAATGAATTGATGAAATCAGATTATTTGCATTGTTTATTCAGTTTATATTTTCAATTTGTAGAGAAATTTATAAATATAATCTATTAACTTCAAAAAACATAAACGGAAGTTCTCATCATTTAAATTGCATTAAAAGGTGGTAATTAGTTCGAAAATGGATTTAATACACTTGAACAAAGAAATGACAACTAATTTCATTGAAGATACTGTTAATAATAATGAAGATGAGGACAGTGATTTAAATTTTATACAACGGCTTGGTGTTGAACTACAAAAACGTATTGGTACATTACCTAAAGTTGAATTATTTACATTAATGATGTCAGACAATGTACCTGGGAAATTAATAAGAATGTTACGTGTTAAACCAAAATCTTATTCAGAAATATCACGTACAATAAGAGCAGCAAGAACCATGAAATTAACTGTACGTGCTTGTGGTCATTTATCATCTTCTAATTTAATATTATACGGTACAAACGGTATTGTTTTAATTGATTGCATCGATTTATCTGATTCACCTAGAATTCAATTTGTTAATATGAAATGTAAAAATAGTGAAAAAGAAATACAAGGATTAAAATTATTATCATGTGTTAGTATCAATGAATTGATCAATTATCAAATTAGTCATAATATTGAAATTAATCAAATTGTTGATACATATTCCATATTTGGTACAGTTGTGGGTGCAATTGTATCTACACAACCCGGTGTAGTTGGTCCAGGCGGTGCTGCAAATGGTGGTTGTTTAACTGATGAAGTGATTGCTATTCGTATAGTTGATTGTCATGGTGATTTAATTGAATACTCAAGCGAAAATGAAATTATGTCAGCTGTTTCAAATTTGGGATTATTAGGTGTTGTATATGATATAACACTTAGGTATAACCCAATTACATTAACAAAGGTGAGCAATTTTTATAAGTATACAGTACACTATCAGTACAATGTTGAATATAATAACTAGGTATAGTTTCAGGTAGTTGTTATCTATTCATGACATTAAAAATAGTTGTATAATATTACAAATTGACTGATTGTCAACAACACAAACTTGACTTATTTAAGGTGTCTGGTTGATCTGTTTTGTCACAAGCATCACTACTCAGAGTATGAATGCAGAGTATCAAAAATACTTTACACTGTTATGTGTTTGATGAAGCTTTACACTTTCATAATAGTCAGCATAGTTTTTTCATAGATTTCATCTTCACGGTATAAGACTAACTTGACATAAAAAATACTGACTGCTTTCCACATGACATTACTCTCTTTGTTTATAACAATTAGTCCTGTATCGTCAGTAAATGTTGGTTAGGTAGACTAATCAATCAGTGTAAATCATGGTTATCAATCTTTTAGTTTAATTTAGAACATATTTTATCAAATACGATGTTCTGTTCACTTGGATCATCACAATAACGGCAGACACTAAATCCTGTTGTTGATTAGAGTATAAGGATCTCTGGAAATTATTCACTTTTACATTTTTATATCACAATTTGTTCTTAGTAAGACAAAAAAAGAAAACCAGTGATCACTGGATAGATATCTTGTCGTAGTATGAAACTTTTCACCACATCCACTGGCAGTCGAATCCAGAACTCTTAGATCTGACAGCGCTAGCTTTAAACCTTCAGATAGCAAAGTCGTTATCCACTTGTTTAAATATCTAACTAGGGTAAATCCGTAAAGTGTAAACCATGAAATACAACAGTCTGAGGAAAATGGTTACATTGATATTCGCCATGCATTTACTGGTGACTAATTTTAATAGGAAATTCCAGAAGTTCTGGTTATCGGGGACTTACCTACCAATGGTTAAGCTATCTGGCTGATCGACTGAGGAAAAAAGCATAAATCATTTGATGCTGGCTTAGTGATCTAAATGTTGAACACTTATCTCAAGGCCTAAGGGTTGCGGATTTGGTCCCCGTAGTGGTTATGGTTATACATTTCTGAAAAGTTCAATACTCGAAAACAAAACAGCTATTCGCTGCCTACTGCGTTTCAGTGATTACTGAACTATGTTCAGTCCATGATACAAACTGTAAAAATATGCTCTACTGATTAGAAGATGCATCCGATTATCCTGTCCATTTGAATATAATGAAAAAAATATTGAGTAAAATTATATTTTGTATCACAAAAAAGTTGATGTAAGGATTCTTCAATTCAATACATTAAATTCCATTCAATATTCAATACTTCACCAATTTTTTTTTCATAGAATTCATTGTGAATATTTATTTCCTTGTAAATGCATATTTTTCACTGTTAATATTTTTTAAAAGTTGGAAAATGTTTTATTTTTTATTATGTGAAATTTTTTTTATTTCTGTTAAGGTGAATTATCATTTTTATAAATGGTCTGATTTATTGAACACTGAAAATACTATATTAAAAGATGCTATAACTATTAATCAGTCCACTGAAATAATCTATCTACCGTATAACAGTTGTCATATTAAATCAGTCAATCTTGAATCAAATCAAAATGGTATTAATCATAATGATTATGTCAGTGCTGATATTTCTAATGATAATAATAGTAATAATAATAATAATAATAATACTAATAATAATGATAATGAACTAGTCGATTTAAAAGTTTGGAATATTGAAGAAGATGAAGTACTGTTACGTACAACAAAGCGTTTCTCACAAGATTATCAAGATAATTATATTGCTATTGATATGGGAAATAATGACCACATTAATGATAATAATAATTATAATGAAGAGGACCCATTGATCAGTTATGACTCTGATCCACAACAATTTGTTTATTTATTAGATCAAGTATTTGGTCCATTCATTGAAGAATTTATCGAACAACCAGACAATATACCGAAATTATTGAAAAGAGCACATCATTATTTAAGGTGTAAATATTTTCCACATTCAACAACTATTCAATATACACCATGGGCATTAAATTCATTCGGTAAATTGAAAGAACCACTTCGAATATTGAAATTTACTATGGAAACAGATAATGAATTAAATCAGTTTATAATGGTTAGTGTGTGTTTATATTTGAAAATATATTGAATTAATTTATCTAATAAATAAAAATAACTAATGAGAAAATATCTAGTTTGATTTTTAATCAATGAATCTATCTATTATTGTTGATAAAAAAATTTTTTATGAAATTTAATGCACTTTGGAGTTATTCTGTTGTTGATATCAAATCTCATATCCATTGCATAAGTGAGTAAGTATCTGGACTCAGTAGTTAGGTGAATAAAGCGATGTTGTTTAAGGCAAACATTACTGGGTTCGAATCCCAACGTAAATACTAACTCTCATTGGCGGGTATATCCAGCTGAAGAATTCAAAATAAGATGGAATGAACATTCTGACTTCTTTATTTACAAACAGCTAAATATGCTATGAAATAAATCTCCCCTTAAGTTTCCATTAATCACATTTAGGCGAACCATGTTTATGCAACGAATGTGATAAGAAGCATAATAAGGATTCGGTTGAATGAGTTTATTTCAAGCAGACAGAATTGTGAATGAATAGCGCACAAGCAAAGCGAAGCGAAGTGGAAAAGGTAAGTGAGCTAACTCAATGTATGCAACGAGTAGATATATTGTTATTGTAACAAAACTAGAAGTTCATGGGTTATATATTATATGAAATAATAGATAGATGCATTACTGACTAATTCCAACTAATCAGATATATGTATTTGTTTAACAGCTTCGATTTTTAAATATTTTTGTAATGAAATCAAATCACCAAAACTATACAAACCACATTATTAAAATCATTGTTATGTTTTATTTGCCCAACCACATTGGAATAACCAAATTACATGTATGGTTACTTATTAGGTCATGAGGATTTGAATGAATTATAATATGAACAGTGTAACTACACTTCATTGATCAAACTCCAAATGACAACTAATTTCACCCCACACATACTACAAACGATAAGTTAACATTTTATATTCAGTTCAAAAATCGCAATTTTATAGTGGTACTTTATGGAATTATGAATAAGTTATAAAGTCTAACAAAGAATTAATCTATAAATTTATCTAACATTGATCGATTCATGGTTTCAAAAATGTGTAACTTAACAATCGTCACAACCCCGTAATGCAAATTACCTGTGCTCACTAGTGACTAGCTTCGTGAGGAATCTTCTCCGAGTTCCAGTGGGAAGAAGTGACCAGTGAAGTTCAACCTGTTCGGGTGTAGACAGTAACTACCGAAGACTGTGTATGAGGTTGCGCAACTCTGTGAATGGATCAAGTTAGGCATTAACACCGTTAGATACCGGCTCAGTGGTTCGATGGTTAGGCGTTCGCCTGCAATACCGAAGGTCCTGGGTTCGAATCCTGCAGGGTGCAGGAGTCGTGGATGCGCACTGCTGAGGAGTCCCATACCAGGACGAAACGACTGTCCAGTGCTTCCAGGTTTCTAATGGTGGTCTAACATTGATCGACTCATGGTTTCAAAAATGTGTAAATTTAACTAAATCATTCTGATCTACGGTTTACAAAATGTATTTGTTAAACTGATTTCATTGTATTACAATATCAACACTAGGGATACAGGTATATCTAGCTGATAAGTCAGAAGTAAGAAAAGAAATCACGTTTCAAATTTTACTGCTTGCTAGACAAATACACTAATTCAAGTCGGTCGGGAACGACTAGTTTTCAAATTTCTGTTTTATTATTATTATTATCTGATTTGTGTATTTACTTGTGAATTCTTTTCTTGTATTCTTTGTTGTTTATTTTCCATATTACATGATTTAGGCAATTCGTACAATATTAGACATACTACACAAATTAGCCAATGATAAATTATTGAATTATTCAATTAATCTTGGTCTACGTATACAATTTACACCAGGTACTAATAATGGTCATTTGTTAGGTGTTGGATTAGAAAGTGATAAAAAACAATCAGATTGTAAAAATTCCCTATTAGCTCATATCACATTTATGGGTATAACACAAATTGAATCAAATAACTTATGGAATGAAGCAGCTAAACAAATAATTTTAACACTATTAACTAAAATACCATCTTGTATGCCACAATGGAAGACAGAATGGCATAATAAACAGGTAAGATATTGTTAAAACTTATGTGAAGTTTACATTTCATATTGAACTCGAACGTTTTCAATAATTTAATATTTACTTGTTCCAGCTGTTCTAACACAATACTTTTTGGGTATTCCTAATGCTTTCAGGTTTTTGGACAAATGATTTATCTTTAAATTCCTACATTTTAAACTTTATTCCAATCATTAAGATGGTTTCATCAGTGCTGATGGCCTGATGTGTGACGAAATCTTAACAGAGGTCTCGATTGGTTTTCACCAACTTGCGTTCACTAACCAAAGGATAAGTCTACTGTGCAGCAGTTAGCTCCACCCTATTTTATGGTTGTGAAACATGGCCAGTAAGAGTAGAAGATATTCTTAGGTTACTGGTTTTCGATCATCGACGTCTTCGAAGCACTGTTCTTCCATCCTGCGAAGATCGAGTAAGCAATGCTGTTGTTAAGAAACGGGTCCTAGGTAAGGATGGCAGATCAATAGATAAAGTAGTGAAACTCCGTCAGTTGAGATGGTTGGGACATGTGTTACGAATGCCCAACTACCGACTGCCTTGTCAAGCTTTGTTTTCTTGTGTAGGAGTAGGTTGGAAGAAAGCTAGGGGCGGCCAAACCAAACCATGGCACAAATCCATGAAGTCATTGACAAGTGGACTGAGCCATGTCGGTAGTTGTCGATTACCTGGTTGGGGTCCGCGAGATAATAATAATCGATGGTTAGATACCCTGAATGACATGTCTCAAAACCGTTTGCAATGGTGCAGGTGCATCCATTCCTTGTTTTCTCTCAAATCCTTATCTTCTGAATTCCTAATGACCGTTTTTCTCATTTTTAATCGATTCCTCTGGAGTATACATCTCGAATGATATATTCGATCATTAATCTTTTTGATTGCTGCTAATACTTCTACTACCTCTACTACTATTGACTTGACGACTGAGTCTCTGTGTTAATGTGGTATGACAAACTTGGAGTGAACCGATGCGAGCACGTACGAAGTTCTACGTTGTAACTAACTGACTGACTGACAACCATTAAGATCGCGTTTAACTAGTTTGAATGGTTTATAGTCACATTAGCGCACAAATATACGAACGCATTACCAAATATTTTATGCTGTTCAGCAAAATAAAACCTTACGAAATTTAAATTCTTTTAAACAAATGTCTTAGTGACTTAGTAATTAACTATTTCATAAACCATTTCAGAAAGAAAAATTGAATTACAATAGCTAAAACACATGACCGGTAGCAATGATAAATATTCACAGTTGAACAAAAATATGTAAACAGTTCATTCAAACGTTTATTATTTATTGTGAATGGATTTGAGTTATTCAGTCTTAAAGTTATTTCTTTTCATGAAAGTGGATTATACTGTGACTTCCTGCTCATAACATGAGGCTATTTGGACAACTGCATCCTTTAAAACCAATGTTTTCATAAATCTAAATGAAAGAATTTCAATCTAGTAAAAATGTTATGATCAGTAAAATCATCAAAATAATAACTTAATTCATTAAACCTGCTATCGCTTTTCGTTAAAGTCTGCCGATTCGAAATCTTTAATCACTTCTGTCCCAAGCTCTCTTTTCCAGTCTTTCCAAAGAGCTATTCACTATTTTGATATCTACCTCAAATTTTCGCGGTTACGTGTTCTTTAGTCTGACTCTTTCGATTTTCCTTGAGGATTCCAACTTTGAATTTTCCTTATAGACTTAGTTTTCGCTTCATATATGTGGAGATCTACTGCTGCAAAAGTTACTTCTACAATGGATGCATTCACGTCTATTTGTTACTATAATATGGAATAGAAGAGCTAGATCATCTATGATGTTCAAATTGTCTAGCTGCATCCAAGCTGTTCACTGTATCACCCTAGCTTCCTTTGAGATATGAAGGTCCTAATAATCTCGTCAATCACGATAAAAAAAAGCATTCATTAGAATATAATTTAATGAATCAATTGATGTTATTATTTCGTATAATCATATGATTATAATTAACACTAGAGTGATCAAACCACACATAATATAAATGACTCAAAACTCATTAACACATTTAAACATTAAGATGGAAGAATAAAGAATTTCACAATTAATAAGATTAGTCATTATATGCATTCATGGTTATATATGTGGGTAGGTAGGAAGGTATAAATCAAAGTAATAAAGTGGGAGTACTAAAAACTGGAATGTGTAAGAAAAAAGAGTGATTATTTGACAGTAAAACAGGAACTGAATATATATGGAAAATGAAATGAATTCCTAATTTTAATATACAAATACATTTAGCAGTTCAATGAATGCTATTAGGCCTTAACACTGAGCATCATCTGACTTCAGCTTTAAAATTAATTACGAAGTGGATTCGGAATTCTAGTCTTTTTATTCGACTACAAGGTGTAACTGTAATATAAGTGGCAAGAAACAGCTAATAAATGCAGACTACCGAATAGTCTAGAACCAGTAAGATGGATGCTGCTCATAAGACGGAGTATAAGTAGTGTGTAGCGTAGCGTTGTCCAGAAGTTTCTACCAGAGAGAGGAGTATCTAGAGATTGGAATGCATAGCGCGATCAGATAATATTGAAGACTAGAAGAAATATAAGAGAAGACAGTCAATAACTTGCTTGTATTTATCAATGAATGTCTGAAGATTAAATGTAAATATTTTGTTAATAGACTATATCTTCTCTAAATATTTTCCATCCGATCTTGACTTCGTTGGTTACATCAGCTTCTAGAATGATAATATAATCGTTAGTATAAAATCTTCCACCTATTTTAAAGAAAATTTGCTTTTGAAACAATTATTATTATTATTATCATTATTGTTATTACTATAGCATTTTACCATTGAAATCTCACTAAAATTCATTCATAAATACATAGAGGATGTAAAATTATATTTAATAGAAGTTACTTACCATTGAATGGCGGTCTGAAATGGTAACTCAGATCGATACTTTTGATTGTGTTGTGTTGGCAGTGGTGGACAGTTTAACATTTTAAAGCTTTCATTATCATTCTAAAGAATATCAGTAAAACTTATGCATTTGAAGAAATAGGATGCTCAATTAACCCATAAGTAAAGAGTATTTGTAGAGATTGTATCATTCTCACAGTTGAAACCACGGCTCAATAATCTAGAGGTTAAATTTTCGCTTGAGATACCGAGGATCTAAAGTTTAATTCCCACTTGCAGAGTCATGGGTAAGGCACTGTAAAGAAGTTCCAGTACTAGGACGAAACGGTTGTGCAGTGCTTCCATAATTTCAGGGGACGTCTAGCTAAGATCAGTTGATGATTTCAGCTATTAAAATAATCCAGAAGCGTTAAATCAGAGTGTTCTGATGACCTTATTTGTAAATGGTCGTTTTTAGCGGTTTTGTCTCTCACTTTGAAGAGAAAGTTAATGATTTTTAATAGTAATAATAATAATAATAATAATTTGAAGACAATTTAAATTTAGTTGAAGAATCATAGAAAAGTAGAAAGAAGTTAAGTGCTTTTAGAAAAAATCTCCTATCTTTTAAGAAAATTAAAGTCAAAGCTCTTTTAGATTCAATAATTGTCAAATGATGAAAATAGAAATGGATTCTCCGAAGTTTTAAACATAAACTTTGACGCACAAACACAATGAAATAAATTTCCTTGATGACATTTAGCAGCAATCCAGCTTAATTAAGACACGTTGACTAGTAATGAAAATGGAATTTCAATCAAATTAGTAATTAAAAAATAGTTGAAAATTAATTACTCACTAATTCATTTTCAGTATTAAAAAATTACATTGAATTTTGAATGTAATCTTTTCATTTACACCATTACAATGATTACATTGCTAAAAGTAAATTGTTTCTCATTACAAACCACATTTAAGAGTGTCCAATATGAAATGAAACTTCGAAGCATTCAACAGATCCTTTCAATCAAAATTTACTATTCTATACAACAATAAATGTTAAACGCATGACTTTTGTAGCATGCATGATAAAAAATACTTTTTTTTCTAGCCATTCAATCGAGTCTTTTGATAACCTTCTTTTTTTTATTTGAGAAAATTTCTACTCAAGTTTATCTATATCTGATGTTAGATTGGGAAAAAACAGTTTCAATTTCAATTGACCAATCAATAGAAAATCTTCTTTTTCTCATTTCTAATATGTCAAACACTCATTACAAGTATTGATATATCAATGTTTTTTTCCAAAGGATTCCCTAAATTCCTAATAAAAATAAACTTCAATTTAATCAGATATATATATGAGGTCATTTAAGGTTGCTGCTAGTTATGCAAGTACACGATACAGACAGATGTATGCGGGTTTATGAGTGCTCTTATAAATTAGTGTAGTTCAAATTTCTCGAAATAATATATATATCGAATATTCATTTGAGAAAAAAATTTATCTTGTTAATTAGTTCATATGATATTTACGGATTGTTAGAAAGACTGTTAGTACTATATAAAAATATGAAAATAAATTTGAAAATCCGTCAACAATAGATTTTCGTCTATTAAAAGACTTTCAATTATTTAGATTAGATGATAAACCAATCAAATGACATTGACATAATAGTTAGTCACCGATAAAAATGGTCTTTTACTACTCGGTTCTGATAATGGCAATGGGACTCATTTTTGACATTCACCCAGGCTCCAGTCGTTGTGAATAAAGGCAGATGATAGAAATAACCAGCAGTATGTATAATTTTTTCTTCTAGTCCTCCGAAATCCCATTCGATTGAACCATACATAAATGAAGTATCTGGGTTTGGTTTCTGGCTTACTGCTATAACTAGACTGCTGTAACAAATATTCAAATTTCCGAAGAATAAATCATGCCGGTTATTTTCAGTCGATCAGATTAGATTGAATAAATAACCTCACTTTAGTCCTTCATGCAAGTTTCAGAAGTACCACATGCCTCAAATGGTAAGCAATTACAGAACTATAGCTACTAACATCTGCTAGCCGATTAGAGGCAGAGTTCGAACATTGAAAAATCAACATGTAGGCTGGAGTGTGATTTAAAGAGATAAGATATGGGACTTTTTAAATTCAAATTCTGAACACTAGTTGTGCACAGGGAGAAGATTAATCTAAAGACGAACAGTTACTCGCAGAAATACAGGTAAACTTAGAAAATAGGGAGGAATAAGTTGAAAAACCCAAATGTTACTGGCAAAATGCAGATGGCTTGTTCCTCAGAATCTCCAAGACCTCCGAAGAATACTTTTAGAATCGGCCAATAAGCTAACTTGTAAGCTCAACTATATAACTCAATGAACAATTAACTATGAAAAAGCCGTTGATTTCCATAGTATTAACATGTAGTAATTCGCTCTCGAACCAGTAAGTTATTAAAGCGTCGTGAAATTATGGTACAGTATTTGTTTTTTTACTTAAGAAGCATTATTTCACAGGACATTACGATTTGAATTTGAACTGAATATGAAGTCAAGATTGTGTATTGTTGTTTAGTGATTTGCATATCATTTATGTTAAGTTTATTGATTTTTTTACATAGCTCTTCAGCTACTATTCTATCATTGAATGTACATATTGTGTTGTTACAAACAATCTAACATGAATTTCATTTTGAAACTTATATATACATTTCATGTTACATAATAAATGTAATATTGGAATAGTACACTATTGCTGTTTTGTTATATAAAGGTGAATAATTGAAAGAGGAGATGAGGTGTTGAAAGTGATGATATATAAATGAATTACTATGTGTATTAGTCTATCTCACTTTAATCACAAGTTTTTTTATTTAAACAAATTAATTACTGACTTACATTTAGTGACATTCGGTTTAGTTAATTTTTTTTTATCTAAACTTACTGTTTTTGTTTTGCTCTTCTCACTAATATTTCAAGTTACTATTCAGTAAATTTCGTGAAGCATTACAAAACACAGTTGAACCATTGAAAAAATTAATTAGTTTGGCCGATCGTGATGGAATGTTTATGAATGAATATTTAGCTTCGATTTTCTATTCAAAACCAACAATCTATCAAAATTTATATCAATCTCAAAGAACCAATTATTTCGCAACTATTTGATAGTCAACATGTTTGCATGGGCATATGCGTAACAATTGATTAAAACAATATGTATTAGGAAAATTGAGTGTAATTATTATTTGCCTAATGAACATTGAATATTTCTTTACGATAATCATATTGATGAGTTAGATAAAATTGAAAGAAAAACATGAATGTTAGTAATAATGTTAAATTGATCACAAAAATTGTATACTTTTTTGTATTTTAAATAAATTTGAAGAAAAATATCAACTTTTTTTTAAATTTTCAAATTCATCACTCAAAATCTTGGAAAAGAAAGAGGGTGTAGGATACAAACAAGTTAGTTTATTCAATCAAATAAATAAATTTATTAATATATAACTTGATACTTAAATAAGAATAGAAAGTGAGAGAAATGATAATAATAAAATGTAAAAGTAAAAAATATTAAGAAATTTATGAATTAAACAATAATAAACGAATCAACTAACAAAATAATAAATATGAGATGATAAACATAGTTAGATTAGAATGAAGAATAAATTCATGCATGTTTTTGTAATTCTAATCCTAAATCAGATAATTCAATTGTTTCTAATCATAGATTGATATTGGTGTTGTTTAATCTCTGAACAGGAAATCTACATTTCATTATCAATCGTTTTATGTATTTGAAAGGTGTATTTTATTGTTGATATTCTGTAATTAACATGGCAGAAATCCATGAAGTCACTGACAAGTGGACTGAGTCATGTTGGTATATGTAGACTACCTGGTTGGGGTCCGTGAGACGAAAGTCACCAATGGTTAGAGACCCTGAATGACATGGCTCAAAATCGTTTGCAATTGCGCAGGTGCATCCATTCGTTGTGCTCTCTCAAAACCTAAGCTTTTGGATTCTTCAACACCTCTATCTTTGTCTTTCTAACCTTATTTCACTGAATTATATTTCTTGAATAATATCTTCAAACCCTAGTCTTCTTCGTTACCATTATTACTCCTACTATCTTTATCACTATGGGATTTGATTTGACATTTACGTCTCTGTGCTAATGTGGTATGGCAACATGAACTTATGTACATACGTACGAAGTTCTACGTTGCAACTGACTGACTGACTGACTGAATTTCTTTCTGAACTAATCAATATGATATTCGTTTGTTACTGAAAGAGATAGAAGTTAGAATCAAAGATGTAGTAAGTAGAGAATGAGTAATTGAATGAATTCTATGTATAAAATGTCTTGTTAACATCTAATGCATTGAAATTATGATCTGTTCCAATCAATTTTCGAAATTTCTCTCTCTACAATACAATAAATAAATCTGTTGAATAACTTAAAGTGGGAAATGCCAATAAAACACAAAAGAAATATTTTAAAATCTTGTCTAATGCTAAAACAGACGACTTATTATTCCCATACTGTAGTGTAAATGCTTTGATGCACTGCAACAGAACAAAAAAGATGTTCCTTTGTACTACAATAAAATTATGCATATTAATTTAGTTAAACATCTAAGTAGATTTTTCTCCTGGTTTTTTTTTATTCTTTTCATATTCTGTGTATCACATGACACAAAATAATATTTTCCGGGTAAAAACATCAACAATTTATGAATTGAATTTTAATTTTAAGTTTATACTTATTCTCTGTCATTGTGATCTATGTTGTTTATTGAAACTAACAGTATACAATTATGAACACGTATTTCTGAGTGTATGTTTTTCTGCATCGGCTCATATGATGATTTCGTGCATAGAAAGTAGATTATTGGTAATGTTAGCTGTGAGCAGAGAGGGTTCAGTGAATAGATTTCATGTTCTTCAGTAAGACTGCTTGTTAGTACGACTTGACTATTGCGATGGTTCTGTTTTAATAATACATTCAATATCCCATCATTTACACTTTCCGTTTTTAGTCAATCAACAATAAATAGTGTTAGTACCTCAGTACTATTAGGTGTTAGTGCTTAGTTTCTAAGTTGACTAAACTTCACGGATCATGGGTTAGCTATAGAAGTTCAGAGAATTAATCTGAATTTGAAAACCGGTAACAATATGGCTATCAGTCAGAAATGAAGTTTATGGAAGCTAGTCAATTGGAACCAACATAAACAAGAAAATCACTGAAAATCGGAAAAGCACTTAACAATTGTTTAAATTTATAGTTTGCTATGGTAGTTGACAGATTTCGTATACAGTATTCATATATATCTATTCATACGCTTCACTTTAAGGACACTAAACGGTGGTAAGAAATGAGCATTACTTAGCTGAGACAAATATTTTATCAATATGTTACTGTAAGTTAATCTCAAGTCCCTTCTCTTCTAAATCATCATAAATCGCCTACCTTTCAGACCGATATAGCCTTACCTACTTTAAAAAGTAAGCTGTTAGTATTTTAGGGCAAAAATTTGCTTCATGTTTAACTCAAATCAGCCTCACCTTATTACATATTGATTGGTTAATAAAAATGTTTCATGTTGATTGGTCATTAAGTTTTTCAAGTTGAGACCAACTTAATTCTTACACTCGATAGGAAGATGAATACGATTTTCTGCCCAGTTAACATAAATGGTCTGTTAACACTTAGTACTCTATAGAAATGATCAGAAATACACATCAACATATACAACACATAACTTAGAGCAAATATACAAACAAACAAAATCAATTACGGTATGGAATAGCTTATCTACTAGGAAAAACTAAATATCCCTAGAGTTTAAAGGTAAATCTTGAGAATAAACAGGAACTATTTTTATTTCTGGTAAGCGTATAATAATGATCAGTAAGTAGATAATATTTTTAATATTTTAATGCTTAAGTTTATCCAAAAAATGTATAATTTTTAGGAAAGTTTCACAGGCTAGTTTCAATGATAACTTAATCATCATGAGTGTATTTGTTCAGTACTACTTCATAATATGAAACCTTTAACAATCAAACTTGATCATTGAGCTGTAGGATAAATATTTTGAGGGATCATACATATGCTGTGAAAGACTTGTATTCTTTCATATAATGAACATGTGAAAAATCCTCAACTGTTAGTTTAAGCATTAAACTGACCCATACAAGGTCTAGTAGTTTTTTTAAATTTTTCTTTTGGAAGAAACAATAAATCAGTACGACCATAAAACACCACAGTTATTTAATGATAAGCAAGCAAGTGAGATAACCATTTAGCATTCAAATTACTCAAATCTATGTAGTAAAATCTACAAATCGAAATAGTCACTTTTTAAGTATTGAAATTACTCAGTAGAATGTTTTGATTTTTTTTTTTGGTTGTCGCTGGTACCATCAACTTTTCATGCTGTTTCCCTCTAAGCACTCATCCGATATCAGGGACTCGCACACAAAACATTGATAATTCAAACTGATTATACCATCCACTTAACACCTCAACTAATTACAATTATTATTACGGGTTTTTTCTCATCAGTCACAATAGATAATCTGATATTATTTCATTACTGCATTTTCTTATGATACGCACTCAAGATCAAACAAACTTCATATTTCTAGACAGGATAATATAAGATCAGTTTACCAATCATAAGTACTTTTATTATTTTTATTATTCCACCTTTTTAATTTTAATAGTATGTAGTCTCTGAAAGTATCTGAAATTGATTTATTTGACAAAATAACACAGGAATTTTAAACAAAAATTAAAAATTGACTTGATAGAAGCAACAAAATGGTTAGTTGTGAATAGAATGGAAGTATTGAGCTAATCTATGCCAATTCATTAGTGCGATTGATACATTTGAAGTTATTATGAACAGATTTGGTTATTTATAAGAATATTATTTTACGTCCTTAAAATTATAAAGATCATGTACTGATTACATAATTATTGATTAAGCTTCTAGTTCTCATTGAACCTATTGCCTTAAGAGCTGATCATTTGTTGATGAATTCGGTTTGAATAGCTTGAAGTATCTAATTGATCAAGTAATAATATGAATAAAGATTGAAATGAAAATAAATCCTAAGTGAATTTGTTCCAATAGTATGTGTTTTTTAAAATTAATTCCTGAAATTGATTAAAATAAGCAAAGATTTATAAAATAACCCTTGTAAATCTATAGTTTGGCATGTGATGTAGTAGTTTGATTAAAAGCCCAAAGTTCTGCGAATTCATTATCAAGTTGTAGGATCATAAATATGTATATATACCTTCTAACTCCAACCAGTTAATAATACTCATCTGCCACGATGAATAAGCTGTTCAATACTCTCTGATCTTCATTGGTTCTATAGCTGTTATCAGTTTTCGGTTACAGTTACTAGCATAAACTTAATGATAGCACTAATTTTAGTAGTGTAAAACATTTATTTCCTCAAGTAGCTGTAACTCATACTGTATTACATTCCAAAAATGCATATATCCCTAAAAAAAAATTAAAACAGAAAAGTGATGTGTACTCATAAAATTTTATCCATCAAAACTATAAAGCCATTACGTATTTTTCCTTCTATTTCATGTACTTGTATACGTTATATGATCAACTAGGTGTATCGTAACAATACAACGATTTTGAAAGTAATTACGTGAATAATTTTGTATTTTATCCAATCTTCTATTTTTCTACAACTAATCACGTACTGATATTATGATTATTATCATCGTTAGTATTATTGTTATGGTTATTATCATTGTCAACTTAATTCATGTTTACAATATATTATTGTGTATAGAGACAATAAAATGATGTCATATCGATTGCAAATATATTTTGAATAGGTGTACTAAAAGGATTACTAACTTCTACTGAAGCTAAACTACTTTTAGTTAATTTCAACTAACAAATGTAACAAATATAACTAAAGGTTTTATGTATGTAGTCATGATTAACTTCCTGTCACTAAACCTTTAGAATGGGTATTTACAACCTTAATAAGATACAAGTTCAGCGTAATACATTTGGTAAATGTTTGATTTCATAGTTTATATTGGTAGATGAACTTGGTCAGCGGTCAATAAAAATAAGAAAGTACTTGACAGTTGTTTCATCGTAGT